CATTTAGGGGACCACTGGAGAGACACAGGCGAGAACCAGTGAAGGTGCCAGCTATGGCTGAGATCAGGAGATGGGGTGAGACTCACACATGAGACAGGAGGGAGCAGTCTCTGTAGGATATGGTGACCAAGAGGGACCCAAGACATCTTACCCTCGGCTTTGTAGTTACACAGCCCTTTCCTGTTGCATCTTCCATTACTTGCAATCCAAAGTTTTGGCTCTTACAGGGCCTACTTGTCCAGAGAGGCACATGGATGCTTCAAGTAATTACACTGTTGTCTCCATTCTTTCTCTCCTCTTAAAGTAATAGTAGATTTCCCACTATACCACCAGCCACACCAGGGTTCCTCTATTATTATCTTGTTACAATTGACATGTCATTAATTAAAGTCCATGTCCTGCCATGGGGCCCAGTCTCTGTGTTGCACATTCTATAGGTTTTGACAAACATATGATGAATTGACCCACCATTATAGTATCACAGAGAACTAGATTTACTGCCCTGAAAATCCCTTGCACGCCATTCATTCATCCTCCTCTCCCTCCCCACTGATGACCACTACTAGTCCTTTCACTTCATTTTTTTCTTTGTTTGTTTGTTCTGTTTTTTTTGAGATAGAGTCTCACTTTGTTGCTCCCAGTAGAGTGCTGTGATGTAATAGTTAACAGTATCCTCAAATTCCTGGGCTCAAGTGATTCTCTTACCGCAGCCTCCCAAGTAACTGGGGCTACAGGTGCCCACCACAATGCCTGGCTAGTTTTTTAGAGACAGGGTCTCGCTCTGGCTCAGGCTAGTCTCGAACTCATGAGCTCAGATGATCCACCAGCCTTGGTCTCACAGAGTGCGAGGATTACAGGCGTGAGTCACCATGCCTGGCCACCTGAAAGAATCCTCACCAACAGGAAGGGGAAAGCAGCTAACAGTCTCAGCACTCTGAATGCTACAGAGGGAAAACCATTGGTTTGTTTCCCTTGCAAATGGGATTCAGGGACTCAGCATCCAGTGGAAGACCTGGGCTGGACATATGCCCCCATGAGAAACTCTCTTCTCTTCCCTAATTCAAAGAAGACTAGAGGTGCCAGATGCTGTGGTCCATATGGGTAGTCCCAGTTACTTGGGAATCTTTAGCAGGAGGATCTCTTGAGCCCAAGAGGTCAAGGCTGCAGTGAGTTATGACGATGCCACTGCACTCCAGCCTGAGAGACCAGGCAAGACCCTGTCTTAAAAAAAGAAAGCAAGCAAGAAAGAGGCTCACTGATGGGTTGGCCAAGTTCACTTGCAAAGTTTATTTAAAAAGAAATAGGCATAAGATAGAAAGGCAGGTATTTTCTTTGTTGTAAAGACAGCAGTTACAAAAGAGAAGTAATAAATATGACAGTAGGAAATATTTTTTTTAAAAAATACAACAAATCCTGAGATTTTGAGCAATCCCAAGAACTCACAAGTTATATAAAAATCTGTACTGGGGAGGGGACAGTTTCACCTCAATGCCTTGGAGCAGATGTTGGAAATTGGCTAATGAGGAGGATGGTCATGACTTTTGAGAGTTTGAAGGGCCCTAGATTTGTCACTTGGGAATGTCGGGGTCCATTCTAATATAATCTGTAGAGTCAGTCACAGGAAGGAATCCTGCTCATTAGCATTCTAATTGTGCTTTCATTCTTACAGGAAAATAGCTTAGTACTTAAGAGTGGGGAAAGGCTGAAATGGAAAGACATGGATGGAGGACGATGGAGCAGACAAGCCTGGGGGACTCTACGGGCCAGGAGACAGGTGCCAGGAAGGGATGGAACTTCCGTCTTGTCTCTATGCTGCCTCACCTCAGCTGAATGCTATTCCGCCTGTTGGAAGGGAGGGGACAGGCAGTGGGCCCATCACCCATGGATAGAAGATACAAAAGCAACTGGCAGAACCTGAGACCAAGGGTGAGCTTAGGAAATCTGGAGAGGAAACGAAGAGGAAGGCTGCAGAGAATTCCCCGGGAAAGCAGGTAACACTGCCTCCAAGGACCACAACGGACAGATCTGCACGAATTAACACAGTAGACTACTTTTGGCGTGGACTGGTAAAGGGACAAGAAAGAGCAAGTGCTGGCTACAGAGAAGGGCAAAGGAGCAGAGGCAGGAAAGGGAGGCAGGCAGGCACCTGGCCCACCCCAGACCAGGGGACACCAGGGGGAATGAGGGGTGGCACTGGGAGGTGAGTGTGGCTGCTGGCTCAGGGAGCGGGCTGGTGGGGAGGGAGAAGACGCCCAGCCATGACTACCAGGGCATCTTTGAGGCACAGCTGTGGACGGAGGGAAAGGTTGGTGGACTACGCACTGAAGGTGGCCTTGAGCTCCTTGAAGGCCGCCTGGCGGAGCCTCCTCTCCTCTTCCTCCCGCTTCCGCTCGTCTTGCTCAGCTTTTAACTCTGCTTCAAACTTACTGGCACACGACAGGGCTTGGGCCTGCAGAGAAACAGCAAAAATAGGCCAACAGAGTAAGGGAGGGAGGAGAAACTGCGAGATGCTGACACATGGGCCAGCAGCCCAGCCACAGACCTGTGACAAAGGTACATGGGCCTATGGAGGGTGGAAGCCCCAGCCAGTACTGTCCCTTTGGTCTGGGAAGTTCTCATTCTGGAAGCACACACACCATCACAGCGGCGGTGTTATTCTACACACGTGCTTCTGACTTCTATCTCACACTACTGTTTAATATCCCTGTTTATAACCCACTATATACCCCTTTAATTTCACACTAACATTGTGTAGTTTGGGAGAAATGACAAACCAAAATGAATCCCCTGCTGGGATTTTGACTGAGATTGCATCAATCTGCCCGTGGCAAATGAATACCTCTGCAATATACAGTTTCCCCCAAATGCCTCAGTTTTCATTCAGGGGCCCTTTTATGCTGCCCTCTTATCAATCACCCTATATTTACCTCTAAATATTACATGTTTTTGTTGGTATTAAATGGGATTTGGTGCTGTTTGAGTTTTTTCAATCTAACCACTTGTCTTCAATAACATCAGAGAAACCCATCTAAAAATCTATTCTAGAAATGATTCTTTTTGTGTATGTCCTATCAATTTGGTAAAATTTCCAGACAACAAATTAGGTATATAGATTATTGTAATGAAGACTAGTAAATTACTCTCCAAAGTAGCTGTTCCGATCTAAACCTCCACCATTATGGATTAGACATACTCATTTCCCCACAATTTTGATAATGCTTATGATTAATGTTTTTCCTTTTTGCCAAACTGATAAAAAAAAAAAATTGGCATCTTCTTTTATTTCCTCTCTGGTGAATTGCCCATTTGTGTTCTTTCCCATTATTCTATTCAGCTGTTTGGTTTTTTAAAAAAATTTTCAGTTTTTTATGTAATTTAGGTATTAGTCTTTTGTTAAATATTTTTAAATTACTTTCTCTCAGTCTTTTGGTTATCTTTTAACTTTAAATTATTTTGTTCTGCCTCTAGTTAGGAATGTTAAAAATATTAATAAAATGAAATAAAGTATCTTGGGCCACAATATTAAGTTTTGACATTTTCAAATTTATCAATCATTTCCTTTCTGGCTTTTGCATTTTACATCACGTTTGAGAAGGTCTTCAATACTTCTAAGTTTCTAAATCCACTTTCCTGTATTTTCTTCTAATACTTCTTCTTTTTTTTTTTTTTTTTTTTTTTTTTGAGACGGAGCCTCAAGCTGTCCCCCTGGATAGAGTGCCATGGCATTACAGCTCACAGCAACCTCCAACTCCTGGGCTCAAGCGAGTCTCCTGCCTCCGCCTCCCAAGTAGCTGGGACCACAGGCGCCCGCCACAACGCCCGGCTATTTTTTGGTTGCAGCCGTCATTGTTGTTTGGAGGGTCCGGGCTGGGGATTCGAACCCGCCACCTTAGGTGTATGTGGCTGGTGCCTTAGCCGGTTGAGCTATAGGCGCCGAGCCCTAATACTTCTATGGTTTTGTTTTATCATTCGGTTTGCTAAATTACAAAAATGAGCTCATTTATTTATTTACTTTTAAGACAGGGTCTCATTCTGTTGCCTGTGCCAGTGTACAGTGGCAACATCATAGCTCACTGCAACCTCAAACTCCTGGGTTCAAGTGATTCTCCTGCCTCAGCTTCCCAAGTAGCTGGAACTATAGACACACTCCACTATATCTGGTTAATTTTTTTCTATTTTTTGTAGAGACGGGGTCTTACTCTTGCTCACCTTGATCTCAAATTCTAAGCTCAAATGATCCTTTTACCTTGCCCTCCCAGCATGCTAGGATTACAGGTGTCACCACTGTGTCTGGCCTTGTTTCAATTATTTTTTCTTATTCCATTGATCGACTTCTGTGTGTCTTATCAACATGCTAAAACTTCAGGATAACACACTGAGTATATAGATTTATTTTAATAAAGATTATTAAATTGCTTTAAATTGGCTATTATATTAAATTATCCCTCTACCCATATAGCATTATTTAATACTACTGCTTTATAGAATGCCTTGATATTTAGGAGGAAGTAAATATCCTTTTATCATTTTTTTATTTTTATTAAGGTAAATCCTTTTATCATTTTTAAGAAGGATTTTTTTCTTATGTCAAAAAGAATTTTTAGGGTGCCTTAGCTCCATGGTTGCAGCACCGATCTGGTACACTGGGGCCTGCTAAACAAAAAACAAAATTAAATTAAAAAATTAGCTGGGCCTTGTGGTGGGCACCTGTAGTCTCAGCTACTTGGAAGGCGGAGGCAAGAGGATTTCTCAAGCCCAAGAGTTTGAGGTTGCTGTGAGTTGTGATGCCATGGCACTCTACCAAGGATAACAAAGTGAGACTCTGTCTCAAAAAAAAATTTTTTAGGTTAGTTGAGGTGGCTCATGCCTGTAATCCCAGCACTGTGGGGGCCAAGGCGAGTAGATTGCCGGAGATCAAGAGTTGGAGACCAGCCTAAGCAAGAGTGTGACCTTGTTTCTAAAAATAGCTGGGCATTATGGTGGGTGCCTACAGTCCCAGCTATTTGGGAGGCTAAGACAAGAGAATTGCTTCAACTCAAGAGTTCGAGGTTACTGTGAGCTGTGATGCCACAGCTCTCTAATGAGGGTAGCAAAGTGAGACTCTGTCTCTAAATACATAAATAAACTTTTTAAATGAGTGGGTATGAAACTTTGCCAAAAGGCTTTGAAACCTCTAAATTGAAATCTTTTTTCTTATATGAAATATCTGCAACAGAAACAAATTTTTCTTTTCTTTTTTTTAGAGACAGAGTCTTACTTTATCACCCTTGGCAGAGTGCTGTGGCATCACAGTTCACAACAACCTCCAGCTTTTGGGCTTAGGCGATTCTCTTGCCTTAGCCTCCCGAGTAGCTGGGACTACAGGTGCCCACCACAATGCCCAACTATTTTTTTGTTGCAGTTTGGCTGGGGCTGGGTTTGAACCCACCACCTATGGTATATGGAGCTAGCGCCCTACTCACTGAGCCACAGGCACCGCCCTTGTTTGCATTATTTTTATAACATTAGAAGTGAAGAGAAGAATCAATCCCTAAATTCTCTACCACTTAAATGTCTTATGGGGGAGCTAGAGCAGAGCTCTCAACTTTCTAAATGTCTTTATAATTCATCACAACTTCTACTTACTGTCTCAAACCACTCCCTTCGGTGAGTTGTTTGTGATTTCACAGTGACCTATCATAATCCCTCATTATTTTTGATTCAGCCTGCCCTGTACCACGTCATCTCTCGAATGCTCTCCATTCCTGTATGAGCAGCTTCCACATTTCAGAGTCTGCTCCCTCAGTTCTGGTTCACCCATTCATTCACTGCTCTGAAGTGGCCCCAGGTACTTTGGGATTTCACACAATGTGTTTTAGTCCAATGTGATTTTCAATTCCTGACATTTCTTGGTAGCCCAATATGGATGCTTCCATTTCAATGAAGTTGTAATATCAGTTTTTTAAATTCCCCCCTGCATTTCCCAGGCATCTGTTTCTGAAGACAGGATAACTCAAGAATAATAATGCTTTTTTTCTTTTTTTGAGACAGAGTCTCACTTTGTAGCCCTCGGTTGAGTGACGTGGCATCACAGCTCACAGCAAACTCTTGGGCTTAAGCAATTCTCTTGCCTCAGCTTCCCAAGTAGCTGGGACTATAGGCACCCACCACAATGCCAAGCTATTTTTTTGTTGTTGTTGCAGTCATCATTGTTGTTTAGCAGGCTGGGGCTGGGCTTGAACCCACAAGCCTTGGTGTATGTGGCTGGCACCCTACTCAATGAGCTATAGGCACTGAGCCAATACTAATGCTTTTGCTTTTGACAAATCAAAACTCGTAGAGGTAGGGGTGAGGATTTATGTTTCCCAAATTTCCCAGCTATTCCTCAGGCACTCAATCCCTGCCCTGGCCTCAATATTTCTCATCCTCGGGTGTTGCACTTCTCACCCCTGGCTCCCTGCATCCCCTAGTCCTAGCCTTGCCTTAGGGCTGCACTCATGACAACCCAGGGTCCCCTTCCCTGTTCCTTACATCTCTCCTCTCCAACTTGCCTCCAATGACTCCTGCTGCTTCTCTTCACCGGGGACTCACACACCCTCTCTCCTGGTGTGCTGACCCTGCCCTGGGTTACCTTCCTCCTCAGCATGGCCCCTGGCCAATTCTTGCAATGGCACCAGTCCCAGCACCTTCAGCTTGCCAGACCTACACTTCTGCTAAACACACGGCCACGTCTGTCCTCCCCACCGCACAAAAACCCACCCTCATCTTTTCCTCCACAGTAGCCACTCTCAGCAGTCAACCTCGCCCTCCCTTATTTGGAAGAAGAGGAATGCAGGCCTTCCGCTTTGGGCTCCTCTCCCACCCATTTCATCCTTTTCCCCTTTCCCAGTGCTGCAGATGGGCAGGGAGTAAGCCACCAACAGTTCATGGAACATCACTAAGCTGGAAGTGCACTGGAGCTGGCTTATACCTGCTTGAAAGCCAATGTTCAGTTTTCAGATACTTTGTGAGCTGCTCATTGGTTTCTGAGACATGGTCTCACTGTGACCTGCACTAGTGTGCAGTGG